CCGGCGCGCGGGGGGGGCAGCGGCGTGGCCCGCCGGCCGCCGAAGCGCCGCGGGGCTCGGGACAGACGCCGGAGCTGCGCTAGCACCCGCCAGAGGCTCACCGTGGTTTGCTATCGCTGGTGGGGCTGGCAAGAATATCTCCTTCCACGCGTGGGGTGGAATGGAGCAGCTATTCGTGGAAATGCTACCCAAGAGATTATTAAAGAAATGACCAAAAAAAAAAAAAAAAAAAAGGCGTGCACTCAACTATGCGTTTAGCTCATCTAAAATGCAAGGAGAATTACAGCAACCAGAACGAATGTGCTTCCCTGCATTTCCACCTACCGAGAGCTGCTGCTTTTACAGAAAATGTGCTGTGTGATCAGGGCCCCAAGGGAAAAAGATGCAGCTTTTCAGCTAGATGTGACCCTGCTATATCATGTTTGTGCCAGGCAGTGGCACACTATCCTCCAGAGCAGCTAAATAACCCACTTCAAATCCGCATAGTATAACCCTAGCAATCTCTCCCATGTGTATCTCACAACCGGCCTGGCCTCAAAGCACTAATGGTGCTTAGTGCTTTCAAAAGTGCCTCACGAGCACTAGCTCACTGAAACCTGCAATTCTCTTTATTTTGCTCTTCATTTAAAGGCAGTGAGAACTAAACATAAAGTAGTCAGACCAAGTTAAAAACTACAGCAGAAAGAAATGAACAGAAACACCCCCTCCACATCTGAAGGCTCTCATGTAGGGCAGGCCAGAAATTTTCTCATAGAAAGTTCTTTTTTCCAACTGTGAGATTCCCTCTTGTTTAAATTCCGACTTTCCGCGGCTCTGCAACCCAGAGCTTTTCCCAAAGCCTTGACTGATACTAGGTTTAAAGCTTTCCCGGGCTGCTCCTCAGCCAGAAGGGGATCCCAGGGAGCTGCAAGCCCAGCTATGACGTTTTGCAACAGCCCCAGGCTCCGGCATCCCGGCCCCAGGGCAGGAGGGGTGCCCAGAGTCACGTCGTGCAAGGCCAGCCAAGGCAGCCCCGAGGTCTGCTGAGCCACGTGGCAAACACGTTTCGCAGTTTTCCTTTAACGGTTTCCAAACGAAATGTTAAATGTGCCAATTTCCGCAGCAAGCGTAATGGGGCTGTGGGGTGGCTCCCCAGGTGGTACCTGATCATCACGGCATTTACCTTAGCGGTAGTGGCAGTTTAGTATTTGACATAAAGGCATCACCTCAATTGCTTTTATCACCTTTTACTTCCTCCATCTTTACAGCTGAGCAGATTCTTTATAAATGCTGGCAAATTGCCACGGATTCAAGCACATTTTTGCAGTTTAAGTGGAGAGGGCTGACTACTAGCTCTGTCTGCTGATTTTTCCAGGACTCAACTATTCTATGTTTTTGCAGGGGATTATGCAGACTTAGTTCATACATTAGGTAGACTTACACCCCAAACCAGAGTTGTCCCACCCACCAGTGAGCTTGCAGCTGCATTTCTTGGGTCTCAGCCCCCAGTTTGGAAATCACTGCTCTCTTCTTACATGTCTCAACCTGCAATTCCAATGATCCAGGATGGGTTAGTGCCATTTTTTCACCTGTCTCCTTCATCTGGAGTGAAAACTTTAATTGCTTATGTGATTACCTACTTAACACCTAAATTAATCATCAGGCTGCTAGGAAATTGACTTTTATCTAGAAAGGCTGTCAAAGTAGAGCCAAATGAGGTTGCAAAACGGCAGCACAGCAAATATTCCTCCAAATCTCTCTCTCTTCTATATGACCCCATTTTGAGAATTTTGCTAATATAAAAAAGTGTTACAGGGCTCTCATCTTTTCCTATAGCTGCTTAAGCCCAGCTATACAGTTGCATAGTTGAAATTAAGAGTTCAAGGAGTTCATGTCAAAAGTAAAGAACAGCATACACATTTACAGAATCATTATGATTGGAAAAGACTTTCAAGATCATAGAGTCTAACCAAACAATTTAGTAAAGTACCTCACAGTTTAAAAACAGCTCTGCAACTTGCTGTGTCTGAAGAGGAATGCAGAATCTAGTGACGACACCTAGAGCAGAGGGCCGAAATGCCATAATTTATAGATTGTTCTAACCGAGCATGTTGATGGACTGAGGCTGTGGACACTGGGAAAGGGATCCTGCGCAGAACACACTGACCCTAGCTGGTAACTACTCCAGCCTGGTTTGAGCTCTCCTGATAAGCTACAGGAGTCGTTGTCCAACCATAAAGGGATGAAGATGTGCTGGTGTGAAAAAGGGAACAAAGATGTTCACCTTCCTCGGGCACGGATGAGTACAGTGGTGGTTTAAAAGCAGACTAAGCTAAGACTTGACTGCCTATCTTCTTTTACCGCTGCCAGTGAGTGCACAGAGCAACTCTTGGGAAAGGGACATGCTCTTTGAAAGGATACAAAACAGAGAAAATTCCTCATTTTCCTCGTTTTGTTGCATAAAAGGATGTTTAAATACACCTTAACCCATACAGTTTACATTTTCAATATAGGCAGGCCCAGCTGTACTTAACAGGGTAACTGTTTAAAGAAACTCTGATAGTAGCATTTGGGCCACCAGCATAAACAGTTAACAGACGCAGAGTTAAATGAAGTCCGTTCTAGTTAACTGGGTATTAGCTGAACTGTTCATCTCACAGAACTTCACACAAGTTTAAAAGAATCATTTTTTCTTGACTAAAATAAAGGCCCTTGCACGAAACAGAAGGACCCACACAGACAAGCACATACTTTCTCATCTGATAACGGAGCAGGACACCTCAGGGCTCAGGTACATGTGATCTCACATGTCCTTTGAGGTTACTTTTATCATGCTGAATTCCCAGGCAGGTCTCTTTCTACAAATTAAAGGGGACTCTAAGCCAAGATCGCTCTTGGGCTGTGTCTCATTTTTCCTTCTCCAGCTGAACATGAAGGTTGCAGTCATGGATGAAGGTTTCTTCCTGCTCCTGTTGGAAGGGCAGACCATGTGAGATGAAACTAGAAGGGGGGACAGGGTGTTCATTACACACAAAAGCTGCTAAAGTTGTTTGATAGTGACAGCAGAACATTTCTTGAATAGTTACGCTATAGCCAAAATTGCTAATCAGTCTGTTTGTTCAACCTCAACAAGACAAAAAGGTCACTGGGTTTGCCCCACGGAGGCTGCAAGTGCCAAAATCCAGGTCTGGCATTTGATGGTGCTATTTAGGTTTCTTAGAATGAGTTGAAAGGAAAACGATATTCTCTCCTGTTTTTTTTTTCTTAATGCCTGAAAAAAAAACCCAACAAAATAATATGCAAGACAAGTACATCCAATAGTTTAGATCACTATGAATTTCTGAAACAGAACTTTACTTTGCCTCCTAAGTATCAAGTTACCTGATTTTATCAACAGGGAAAATCACAAAAAAACAAATTCATGACATGGTACTGTTCTGTTTACCTAAGTTCTTCTAAATATACTGGTAGCCAGTTATATTAAAATTAAATACAGATACTTCAGAATACGTAACCCTAGTACTAGATCAGCAGCAAGTGCTAATATCCTTTTGCTAGGATTCCACATTAAGATTCCAGATTATCCGCTAAAATCTAAGAGGGTAAATATGCATTAAATCCTCTCTGAGGCCTGAAATTCAGATTTCTGTGCCTCTTGCTAACTATAGCATATTCAAAGATAACTTGTTCCTGAGGCGAGGGCCCAGAATCTGTGCACTATAAATGTCTTTTTGAGAAATGCAGTATTATTTTACTGGGCACCGGTTTTGATGGGAACTGACACGGATTATCTCTGTTAAAGATTCCCTCAGCATTTTGCAGGATAAGTGCCTAAACAGAGCGTGTTCCTTATAGAGATTATTGTCAGTGTTTTCACGCATCTCTCTAAATACAGGAACTATGCTGACAGGTTAGGACACAGACTGAACGGAACAGCCACATCCAGCAAAATGGAAGAGGAAAAGCATTTAATTGCCTTACAGAACTTTGGCAAAAATACCTCAGTTTCTATGAAAGAGCCCACTACTCTGCCCTGAACAGCATGCAAACCTTTAGAACAAGGGTTCAAAAAAAAACGATTTATCGACAGCAGATCTCCTTTGTCTCATAACAAAGATTTACTCTTTTTTTTTTTTTTAGATAATATTGTTGACTACTCCCTTTGGGTCTCTGTGTACTAGAGGGTAGGGTGCCATACATAGAAATCCCTCTCAAGCGCTGGTACAAGGTGGGTAAGGAGATGCAGCTGAGGAGATGGCAGAAGCTGGTTTTGAAACTGGCCAGGAGAGAGCTACTGTGCCATTCTGCAAGACTCCAGAATATTTTTCATTAATAGATGGTTAAGAAGAGAAAATTAGTGTGCACATAAAATGTTTGTATCACAAAAATGGGGGACTTCATCAGTGTGTTGAAACACTGGAATACCGTACAGGAAGATCTGAATAACCATGAAGGAATGGAACAATGTAAGTGGCATGAACATTAGCAGTATAAAAAAAGTAATTTATCTGGGGGCTACTAAAAAAACCTGCCAAGACTTGGGAGATTCCTACTGAAAACACCTGTAGAAGAGCTGGTGATTCACACTGATCCCAGAATGGTTGTTTGCAAAACACTTCCCCACTCTCAGGCCAGGTATTCCCAGCAGTGGCAGGGCTATGTTATGTTAGCATAATACCCAAGACAGGGAACTGCCTGTGCTATTAAAAAAGCTCTTGTGGAACTTCATTTGCAACCCATCTACTGTTAACACATACATTTAACAAATGCATACAGGGAAAAAGTAGGTGACTGGAGTGACAGGAGGGTAGGGAATGCTGAGCTTGGCTCACATAGGCTGATAAAGGCAATGGTGTGAGGCCATTGAATTGTTTTCTAAAAATATGTCTAGGAGAGAAATCCTTAGGGATGGAAAGAATTACTTAAACTAATGGCTGGTGCTGGCAAAGGAACAAAACTGTATAAACTGCTCATGAATACATTCAGATGAGGAGAGAGAAGAAGGTGTTTAATTATCAGAGTAGTGGATCCGTTAACTAGAAAAAATCTAACAAGGTTTTGACGGTGTTTTGAAGGAGATGACACGGCATGCTAGAGGAAGACCACATCTGACGAGCCACAAGCTCTCTTCTAGTCTTTTTACTCTAAGTGAGAATAGTCACCATGGGTAAATGAAGGCACAGAGTAACACTTCCCATCCATGCCAGCATTTCCCAAAGCTATGGGAAAGTATGGAGATTAACCTCACTCACTGACAGAAAAAAAGTGCTCTTAAGAAAGGGACTCAGATCCTTGTAATTTAGTCATCAAGGGGACAGCCCCTTTCTCCCAGTGTGGGTGACTCAATCTGGGTATTTGTAGGCACTACCTTTAGAAGAAGGCAAATTTTCCTCTGCAGGTACCTCTGCTTCTCCATGGAGTATAGGAGAGATGCGCAGGCAGAACATTTGGCTTTCAAAAGTAAAGAGAGAGTTAAATCCTTTCCTAGGAGACCAGAATATTCATGTAGGCTGCTGCCATTTCTTTGGGGGTTTCCATTAAAATAGCACCCATGTCCAGTCATAAATGGTCCATGAAACTTGAGGAAACTTTAGGTACATATATGCCCAAAAGGCCAAAATGGTAATTCTATGGTAAATTGATCACTCTCTTGCCTCACTTACTCTTAGTGCCTTTATTTTAATTAATTTTAAAAGCCAATGTTTAAACACGGTAATTGGTAATTATATATTTTGTTTCTAAAATAAATTTTTCCTAGTTGAATGAATTATATATTCATTGTGACACATATAAAATTTACATCCATACCAAATGGAACCATATAAAAACAGAGTTAGAAGTTATGCAATTATTCCTCTCAAATCAAATCCACAATGGGACTAGATATTTTCCAAGACATTTTTCCTACCATTAGTGCACATTACTAGAAGCAATTGCTTTTCCCTGAAGCCTCCAAAAAGCAAAAGAAATGATCAAACAGCTTGTAAATTGACCCATTATTTTTCTTCGGTGTTACTGCCAAAAGCATTTATAAAAATACAACCAATTCCATTGCTATTAAATAGTACATTAAACAAATCATATTTAACATTAAAGCAAACATGAGGAAATTCAAATAGTGTTTGTATTTCAACTTGAAGAGAGAAAAAAAAATGCTTACCTCTTCAAATTTTAGTGCAATCATAGAAAAAGCTTTAAAAATTGCATCTGTTGGGCCTGTTATTGTCACGATTCTTTCTGGACAGGAGCCTTCTGAGATATTGATTCGAGCACCACTCTGTCAAAAAGAACAAATATTTTACATACGTATACTCCCCGGGGAGCAAGGAGGATTAGGGATACTGTTTGGGCATTGTCTTGGGGCATTCAATTTATCCCCTACAACTGCAGCCCCCAAATTTATATAATTCAGTTATATAATTACATAATTATATAATAATTTATATAATCAGTTATATAATAAACTGATCACGCACCAAAAAATCATCTACCTCTGGGAAACAAGACTCTGCCTAGGTAAATACATAACTTTCATCACACTATGCAGATTGCACTACTACAATTCAAAGTTAAAAATCACGACTTGAGATGTCTTTTGCTTTCCTTCTTGCAGAATTACCATTAACTAGGGCTGAAACCCCAGAACTTCAGCTAAGATTGTTTTGTTTGGGGAGCATCAACTTCCAGGAGCAAAGACTTGCTTGACTCTGGTTTGCACCTACACTCAGTGCTTGCTCTTTCTACAGCTGGGCAGTGCTTTACTGCATGAAGAATGTTCCTTACAGAGGAGCATCATATGGAGTTAGTCAATGAACAGTCACTGAAGAACCCTTAACTAGTCCCCCTTACAGCACCACCAGGGTGTAGAGAAGGTGTTTGCGGCGGATGTAAATACATTTAAGAGGCTCTTAGTGTAGATAAATCCAGTCCAGGCAAGATCAACTCCTGCCCTGTGGTTTGGGGCATGGAAAGGTGTTAATGCCTTGTTAATAACAAGCCACCAGAACTTCAACGGCTCCGCAGACCCTGGCTTGCTTGAGGATGTTGGCAAACGTGAGATGATCTGAGTCAGTGTGGCCCTTCGCCTTCCCCTGTGTGTATTAAGCTGCCACAGATCAGGAGTAATCCACCTGCGTGCGTCCGAGCCTTTACTCATGTGTATACTGCTGCTGAATGGCAGGATGTCATATTTCCCCACATGACAGCTACCAAGAAGGAAAAAAAGAACTATTAATAGAAAAATGTGCTGTCTCAGACTCAGCTGGCAGATCTACTTGATGTGTCTACATAAAAAAGGGCAGCAGACACTTTTTCTGACAGGAGAACCTAAGTGGGAATTGCTCTAATCAAATATCAGCATTCAATCAGGAAGGAGATGCAGGCTTAGGGCTAGCTTAAACTGGCAGAAACGTTTGCTTGCAGTTATCGAAAAGAAATCGAGTTCTGCAGGAATCCACAGTGCAATGTGCTGGATGGGAGTTCTGCCACTGCTCCCTTCATGGAATGCAAGGCTCCTGCTCTGCAGCTGTAATTGCGGGAGTTTATCCAAAACATAAAGTGAATTGTCTGCAGCCAAAACCCACCGATTTTCTACGAGTGAATTTTTATCGGTGATCTAGTCTATCTATCTCCACTGATAGATTTCTGGTCAAAGTAAAGTTATTGCGCTTAGAAGAAAAGGTTTTAAAATAAAACGTGGTAGTCTCCAATACTTCTGTGCAAGAAGCAAACAACAGCAGAGCACAAAGTGGCTTTTGGGTGTATTTTTCCTTAGATACAAAGCTGTCTATGATATGATCTTGACTGAACACAGCAGGTCAAAGTTGTTTTTTTTCTTTTTTTTTCAGACAAGCCAAATCAAGTTTTGTGTGCATACATTTTTAAAGAAGAAATTTAAAAAGCAATGATAAGGTAAACTGCCATATAAAAGGACTACAGTGTCTGCTAGATTATCTCATCTCACCTAGAGGCATATCATCCTTGCCCCGTGTTGATAGTAAAGATGCACACAATTCCTTAAAAAATAAATAATTAAGGTAAAGCAAGCCTTTCATAATTAAGTGCGGGTGACAGCATGGCATAGCTTTTCAGGATTGGAAGCAGAACATTTATCTTGAAAAGCACACCGACTAGGAACTAAAACTCTCCCGTAAGATGTTTGACTCTCAGAATTCAGGAGCACCTGGAATGCCCATAGGTCTCTGTTTGGGATCACAAGTAACAATTAAACCACAGGGTCACCTAGTCCATGGGAAACAGACTTGTAAAAAAAAAGTTTAAACCAATATACAAATATTTTAAAGCATAGGAGGAAATCACTATCTTGAAAACTGGAACTGTGAACTCAGTCTGGAAGCAAGTGCCTGGCTGAGTATATTTAAAAAGGTAACATAGTAATTTTTTTTTCTACATGTATTGAGAATTTGCTGTCCAAGACCTTCTGCCAGAATATGAAAAAACAAAGCAGGTGGCACAATACTGCACCGCTGGGATGTTAGCATCAAACTGATTCTTCCTGTGGCATCCTCTATACAGTTTGCACTCCCGACGTTTTAAACACTAGCATTTGTCTTCAGATTTACTCTTTAGGCAAATATTTGAAAGAACAAAATATTTTGAGGTTTCAAGGTTTCAAGGTATTTCAATCTGCAGGTTGGATGCACTGATCTGCAGGACAAGCAGGTCCTTAACCTGCACCTCGGAGCCAGCATAATCCTGCAGAGGTAGCACACCTCGGTTTGGGACAGGGCCACAAGCCATGAGCTCTGCAGAGACTGACATTTATATGGCTTATTTTTAGTTAGTCTTTATGTATTTGCAGCCTTTTTAGTGCAAGTGAACTGGCCAGTGACACGGGCCTCCCTGTGTCCATCCCACTAAGAGCACAAAGTTAAGGTGAGATGTGGGAGAGGGACCCTGGCTTATGTGCATCTGGCTCTGGCGAATTTTCCATCTATTCCCAAACTTTTGGCAGCATCAGCCTAAATCCTGATTTCAGATTTTGGAAGCTCTCTACAAGGAGGCTGAGCAGACACACAGAATGAGAGAGGGGGTTCAACCCACTAGATCATGCTGGTTTAGGCAGCAGCAGGCATATTTCTGTGGAAAGTCTGGAAGACTCCAGGCTGCTGCGGTGATAAGGAGGTTACATCAATCACAAGGTTTAATTTAGGGCACTACATTCACAGAATGACACTTGTTAACAGTGACAATGTTAAATTGACAGCCCACGTGGTGGCACTGTCTCCACACATATGAACATGACCCGAGCTACAAAGAAAAGCAAGAGAAGACATCTTACTTGTCTTACCTCCTCCCTCATCTTCTTAACTGTCTCACCTTTCTGTTAACGAAAAAGGAAAAAAAAAAAAATTAGCCTCTGCTGATGAAGCGAACCAATAACACAATATTTTGACATGGAGCTAAAGAGTAAAATTTCCTTACCTTTCCAATAATGCTTCCAACCTCCTTTCTGTTAACGAAAAAGGAAAAAAAAAAAAAAAAACATTAGCCTCTGCTGATGAAGCAAACCGATACACAATATTTTGACATGGAGCTAAAGAGTAAAATTTCCTTACCTTTCCAATAATGCTTCCAACCTCCTGAAAGAGAGAGAGAAAAAAAGAGATGTGTTAAGTTACTGATATGATTTGCTGAAGAATAGCTTTTGCTAAGCTCCTAAGCAACCTCGCTAATCACTTATGTCAAACTTGCGACGAGAAGCACAGCCCCGCTCCGTTGCTGATGTACACAAACAGGCCATGCTGTAGAAAGAGGGGTCGAGTAAAGACACAGCTTTGCAGCTTACTGATGGTGCAAGAAAAATACCTTTCACAGAAACTGAGCTTGAGGTTACAGATCAATTCAATAAATGCAGACAAACATCTATGCCAGGGAATGAGAGGTTCACAAATAACAGAGCTCTGCACAACCTACTATAGAAAATGGAATCTGATACAGGCATCAAAATAATCCCTGATCTCACTGAAAGCATGCACCTACCTTCTATCCACCACGTATGGCTGCTGTTGCATTTCCATTTATGCAGTGCTATTGCATACAGACCTGGTGGTCTGCCTAAACTTCTCCTTTAAGCACTTACGGAACAGTAATTGCTAAGCATTTTTTAGGGATTTGGGAATTGCTACTGGGGTTCCAGAATCTTACACAAAGGGGCACAAAACACTGAGAAACATTGTTGTGAATTACAACAGAATGATCTGGCAGTTCTGACAACATCTCGTGGGTTTAAAATCTGGTACATAAAGGTAGCCAAACTGAAAATCACAGTCCAGATGTTTTACACAGATCAGACAGGTGTGACATCAATTTGGAAATCACCTGATGGAAAGGAGACCAGCTAAAGGAAAACACACACTCCTATATTCAGACTGTAAAATCCACTTCAACAGTTGAACACTGTCTCGCATGGCCGATCTGACCTACAGGTATGATATATAGTTTTTTTCCTGCACAGTTTATATACTTGTCTGCCCCATTCTGAAACAGAGCCACAAGAGTAAGATTTAAGAAATCATTCTCTGCTGCTCTGTCCAATGACAGACTCATGATGAAGTGGTACTAACTTCCCCTTGTTGTACCAGAGTGCCTAGAGTGTCCTTGAGGAAGCTATTTCTCACTGCTAGGTTATTTATAAGCTTCTAGGATGAAGCTGCTTGTGCTCACAACTCTGAGAGGAGGTGAGAGGAAGGTTCAGTTCAAGGAAGAGCTTGGGCATATGGTTATTTCACACTCCCTGCAAGTTTGCAGATAACACCAAACCAGGGCATCTTCTACGCTGGTGAACAAGGCTGCTATTTGGACAGGCTGGAGAAACGGGCTAAGAGAAACTCCAGGGAGTTCCACATAGGCCAGTGCAAAGTCCCTGTGTCTGAAATGGAATAACCCCCACAGCAGGACGGGCTGGGCACTAGCAGCTTTGCAGAAAATGAGCTGGGACGTCCGATGGACAAGATTCTGAAGCTGAGTGAGCAGGGTGCCCTTGAAGCACAGAAGGCCAACGGCATCCTGGGCTGCACGAGCAAGAGCGCAGCTGCTCCGGGTGCTTACTGCAAGACAGACAAGAACACCCCGAAGGGAAGCCAGCGGAGGGCCGCGAGACAGCCCGGGCACTGCAGCAGGAGGGACCCGCTCTGTGCACGAGGTTTGACTCAGGCTTGCTTTTAAACTTTACCTTTTCTGTTTCCCTTTCTTATTTCCATTCCTAATTCACCTCCAAGACGCCATTCTGCTCTCCTGTACACGCTGGCCAGGCAGCAGATATTCTTCAGCTAGACGCTGCAAATTTTCCATGAGTATCTGACACGCACTGAGCACTCCCTACACTGTACAAGCGCTCTTGCAAAGGCTCCCGCATCCATCTAGAACTGTGAGACGCCTGTGTATCTGTTTGTATAGTGAAAAAATAAGTTATGTGAAAAAGAACAAGAATGAAGCCTACTCTGTGGGGCTGTGTTTTGTGACTGAACCAGCCTGTGTCTAATAATATGTGGATTTTGGTCTTGCTTATTGCCATGTTTGAGACAGACAAATCCGCATACTGTCTAGATTCACTAGTGATATTCAACTTCTTTGTTATCAGAGACACAAATCCGGGATACCCCCTCTGAGATTTTTCCAAAATCGTACTTTCTTTTAGACTGCCTCTGTAACTCAGCAAGGCTGAAGGTGCTGAATAGGATTAAAACAGGCAGGAGAATAAGAAGGGACAGGCAGACACCCCCACACAGAGCACAACTGCATAAATCTAAATAATGAAAAGACTGGAGAACCCCTCATATCTAAGAGGACCTCATGACCTCCCTGCACATTCAAGCAGCTTTATCTTGAATGTCTTTTTATTCCCTTCTCTAAAATTCCTAGTTTCAGAAATAGTTTCTTTGGTAAGACTTACTCCCAGTAAGCAGAAAGGCCCTTTGCGACTGTCAAGCAATTATATTTTCATCTGCAGAACATTTTTTGTTGTTATTGAACTCTTAGGTCCAACCTCTCTTCATTAGAAACCTGAGACCTTCACGAAAGCTAGAAATCTTCCTTAGGCCTAGTCTGTCTTGAACCTGCAAGGTTTTGCATTTTGCTGGCCCAGTCTATTTGATCATCCTAAGTCTTAATCACAGACATGTTTCTTTCAGCCATGCATGATCGGAACATGACTAATAAATACAAGCACATCTTCCTTGAAAAATGGACAAGATGTTTTTGCTTTGGGAACAGAAAAGCAACAGCTTGTTTGAAGTCCTTTTAAAAAAGATGGTGCATTTCAAACAAAGAAATTCTAAGTCTTTAAACAAAGAAAATAAACGTAAAATATAAGGATTCTCTGTTGATTTCGATGGGTCAGGAAATCCATCCACACTAACATCAGTTTATCTTCAAAGTACTGTCTTACAAAGAACTGCAGTCAATGAATAGTGTGAAGTCATTGCTAAAAATCAGGGAGACTTGTGATCTATTCCTTGGAATTCTACAAATTTTAGAAAATGACACTGAGATTCTAGAGAATATTCCAAACCTTCTTCTCCAAGGGGGAATTTAAAGCATCCTTTATAAAGAGGCTACTCCAAAACATTCAAATAAACTTCTTGCCCTGTGCTATAATTCTCATTGAGCTACGATTCTGCTATGAAAAAAAGAGTGAAGTAGAAAAGGAAAAGGAAAAGCATTAGTCTTACATGACACTCCTACATTTTCTATAATTTTTGATTTTGTACAAATTAGCCCCCCTCTCCCCCCAAAAAAAATCTGCAACTCTTCTACGCTGGTAGCTTTAGCCTCCCCTGGGCTTCATGCCCTTGCTGGAAAGGTCTCATAAAGCCTGGAAATAATGTATATTTTCTAATTATGAAGAGAAATCTCCTTTTGTCACAGATACAATCAGAGGATTCTTTATGACTTATTCTTCAAATTACCTATGCTTCCTCATAAAACCTTTAATGATTCTTTGTACAATCCAATATTTGTCTCATACAGATTCTTTATATGCCTCTAAATTATGTTTAGCACTTGGTGGAATATGTAACACCATTTTTATGATACTCAAGTGCTATCAATATTTTCATATGAGGTTATTCTTAGGGTTTTATCTTCTTCAGAGAACATTTCTAATTCTGTTACACACTCAACCTGTGTGACTGCTTAGATTGAGGGAATGGCATGTCTATCACCTACATCAGCTGATGAAAAGCCAGGAATTGAATGTAACCCAAGCACAGACGCTCCTCGACAGTCAGTGAACGCAGGATGGACATTTCACTCCTAAAAGAGGAGGGATGATGTGTCCCCTCAAGGGGTTCAACCCTCTCCATCTACAGTAGAACCAGCCAGACTTGGACTAACATAAAGCAAGTTAAGTGAGAGGGTTCCCATCTCCGATGTCAAGTTCAGTCTCTGTGCAGGTCAGAGAGGAGGATGATTTAGCTGTCCCAGAAAATAATGGCTTACTAGAATATATTAATATCCTTGCATTACTTGCTACTTTCCAGTGCTTGGCCATATATCCTTAGGCATACAGCATATATATGTGCCATATAAGGTTTTTATTACCAGTTTCATACTGATTTATTGACTAACCTGCATATACACATGATAAGAGATTAGGCTATAGAATAATAATTACTAGTCTTTATATACCCACATTTCAACAACAAATGAAAAAGCTCTGCACGAACAGAACTTTTATAAATGGAGAAACCAAAGCACCTGGGAGAAAGATAGGCCCAAGGTAATGGCATAGCTCAAGTTCCTTGGCTGGAGTATTATACACTCCTTGGCTTGAGTTTTTGCAAATATTTGCCTGGCAGAAACCAAAGCGTCACAGCAACCGCTCTGGATGAACATGATGCTTTCAAAAAGCCTCAGTAATGTATGTGTGTCTACATACCCTGATGTAGATGCACACCCACACATGTACTCATATAGTTGTGGGGGCAGTCAAAATACGTACACAGCCACCAAACAGACAGACAGATATGAGCTTTTCTTCCAGAAGTGACAGGAATTTGAGATGCCCATCTGGATAATCATCAAAGTGGCCAGAGCTTTGGATAGCGCAGAGTATCCAACCTTGATCATGCCTTTCAAAGGGCATATTTACAGATGCCAGTCATGCAGGACAGTCTTATACTTGGGCTCCTATAGCATCCTGTCACTTTCAGAAATCTGAAGAAAATAATTAAATCTAATTTCAGATAGTTTGAAAAAAAGCTCATTAGCCTTTAGGGATGGGTTGATTTATGACTATGTTTCTCTTTAGTATGCCATTTCTAATTGCTAAGGAGATGATCATATGACAAGAAGAGAACCTCGCTGACAAACACGGGGAAGAATACTCTATTCTACAAGGAAATCAAGCAAAAAAAGATGTATTTCTTCCTGTTAGCCAGCCACATGAATCATTATGGTTGGAAAAGACCTTCAAGATCATCAAGTCTAACCATAAACCCATCAACACCCTGCCTGCTAAACCATGCACATGATTCACTGCAGATAACTTGCACAAAAACAGTGGTAAAAAGGAGGTACGGTTTTCCTCATGCTGAAATGCAATGTGTAACTTTCATGACCAATTCACATGGAATTAAAT